AGGGGCAAGCTTTTTATGCTTCCCCTACAACATAAAACTTATATTTTTTTCCTTATCCAACCGTCCATTCTGAATGGAGGGTTAAGATTGCCCCAATCACAATGCCACATCTCTACACTAATTTATTTTTAATTTTTTTTATATAAACTATTTTGATACCAAATTTTGTACATCTAATAAAATAAATGACCAAAATACCCTTAAAATTTTAAAAAGGTATTTTGGTCATTATATTTTTTATCAAAAAATTATTTTTAATGTTTTTTTATAGGTGTGGCTCAATGAGAAAATGGAACGTACCAAATTTCATATTCATACAATTTGTATAAAAAACTTAAAAATAAAATATTTTGAGATGTCGGACTTAACATCAAACGGTGAGTGGCTCTCTTAATCAAAATTCAACGACTGGATAGTAGGATAAGCATAAGTCTTCTATGCTGTAGGGAAAGTATAGAAAGTGAGTGTCATGGTAACTTCATGGGGGCGTATGGGAGCCTGAGATGGAAGTCGGTCAACCCATGATGTTTACGTTGAGAGGGAGACCTATTTCCTAACTTGCTTTTCATGGTCACGAGAGAAAAAGAGAGAGAAAATCCCACTTACAATATTTTGAGAGAAAGATATTCCCACTTACAAAATTTTAACAAGAAACAGAATCTCGATTCCAATATTTTCTTTAGTAAAGAGCTACACCGGGGCCATCCTGGCCTAGTTAGCCCTAGGGTTGCAAGGGACCCGACCCAACCTGAGACTTGAGGGGTAGATCCGATCCAGGTCTGGGTATGGGTCTAAAAATTGGATCCGGTGGGTACGGGTGTGGGTGTGGGTTTGAGTCTGGGTCCACTAATATTTTTCGGGTCTCAATATATGAAATATATTTAAATTATAGTTAAATACATAGATATTTTTATTTTTGGGTCAAGTCTAGGTCCTGGTCCCACACTGTACTTTTCGGGTCCAGGCCTGGGTTTGTTGAATTAGGGTCTAGGTCTGCGTCCCATATCATTTTTTCGGGGTCCAGTTGGTCCTTAACTTGACCTAACTCGTTGCCATCCTTTCTAGCCCGACCCCAAAAAGGTGGGGCTTGGGCCACGAGCTGTGGGCCGGTGTTGTCCTTGTTTGGCCCAAACTGGTCTTCCTTTTTTTTGTTTTTTCTTTTATGTTTTGTATTGGCCCGGTGTGGTGTGGCTCGACCCAGCCCTAATAGGTTAGGGGTAGGCCTCGGCCAGCACTATGGGGAGCAGGGCAGGTAGTGCCCGGTCTATTGCCACCCTTCGGTATGAGAGAGAAGTGGTTTAACTGGACATGAGGCCAAAAGTGATTTAACCAACTTAACCGGTAAACCAGTCGATTCAACCGTTCTAACCAGCCAAGTCCCAGGCGGCCAAAAAATTGTTGAAAAAAGTAAAAAAAATGCAAAAAAATATCTATTAAAATATGAAAAGCATATAAAGAATGATTAAAACAAAACACATTTAAATGAGTTGAAAAGCAATAAAAAAATGGATTTTAAAAGTGAGTATTAATGACCAAAATAATTTTTAATATTTACCATAATATAAAAAAATTAAAAAATGTATTAAAAATCAAATTCTTAATTTTTGATAATTTATAGACATTTTTTTTTAATTTTTATTTTTAAAATACTGGCCGGTCACCAAAACCACCCAAAACTGGACCGACAAAGGGTTGGTTCCGATCTAAACGGGCGGTTACCGGTTAGATTGGACGGTTTTTCAAAGAATGGGTCTTACAGTACAATGGAGATAGTTTTGGTCTTTTTGATCAAACTGTATAAATAGTTTTCGTGGATTTCTCCTATGTTTGTGGAATCTTCAAACTTCAAAGTTTCCATTATATTTGCTCTTTTTTTTTTTTCCATTTTCAGGTCTAGAATTTTATATCAATAAGCGAACTATAATTCATTGAACCTGGTCACATTTCCTCAAATGTGTCGGTGATGCATCTAACTTGTTATAAGGTCAGGTTCGTTAACTAAATCACAACTCACTCCCTACATAATTAAAAGGCTTTATCTAAAATTTCTGAAATAAATAAATTTTGATCGAGATACTATTGGTGGGGGATTTTAACAGGATTCTATTGCGTCTGATATACTAATTTGTCAAGAATTTATCAGATACTTACGTGGAATTTGATATACTAACAGCATATTATTTATTTTAAAATAACTTTAATGACGACTGGTATAATTAACATAAGTAAGAGCATAATTAGCCATAATTAATGTATTATTTATTACAGAGTAACTATAACTAAGATTGGTAAATAAAATATACATAATTAAGAGCATAAATTTATTAAAATATTATACATAGTAATGTTGGTAATAAACTTTAACGTATATCAAACTTCTAAAAATATTTAATAGGTTTAACTTGCATATTCATCGTAGGTTCGTTGCAAATTGCTTCCCGTTTGATTTAATGAGATTTTAGAGTTACTTTTAGATTAAATATCTTTCTTTCTTTCTTATTTTTTGAGCTCAATAAATGTACGTTAGGACTTTCTTGGAGATATATTTGTGATTACTGATGATTACTATTTTAATCAATTCAATTATGATAATAAATTATATGTTGTTTGGTAGTGTCTTTCATAAAATTATTAGAGATAAACTTATAAGTAGTTTTACATATAACTTTTCCTTTTTGAAAAACTGTTTTTTTTTATTCAAAATATTTTAATAAAGATGACATATTTTTTGTCAAAGTAACTAAAAGTGGCTTAAAATAACTGAAAATTTTAAAACAATCAGGTAATATTATATATAATGCCAGATATGTACCAAAAAGCTAACAAAATAATATTATGTATAATATATGGATTTTAGGTAAGATAAATTATATGTGATCACCTTTAGATAATATACATATTTTTAACATAAATTTAATTTTTATCACAATAATAGAGGAAATGTTGTGTTAAATTTATTTTACCTAGATATTCAGAGTTATTGTCATCAAAAGACCATATAATGATACACATGTGAGTTGTTAACCACATTCACAAACCAAAAGCTATTAGATAAGCTCAATTAAAATGTTAATACTAAATGCTTATAAGTGGGGACATCTAATTCATAAAAAGTGGAACAACAACAATAAAAACTCAAGAATCCTGTTGAACAAGAACAACAAAAACTGAGTCACCCGTCTCTCCTGTGTGAACCAGATATGCAGCCAAAATACACGGAGAGGGTCCAATTTTTAAACTAGAATCAAGTTAGCCATAATGCTAGAGAGAGAGAGAGAGAGAGAGAGAGAGAGACAGAGAGAGCAGTGTTCAACTACTCGAGCGAGCCCACCGGACTTGCTTGAGTTTGGTAGTCAAGCTCGGGATCTTAAACATAATTTTAAAAAAAAATAATTTAAAAAACCCAAAAATAAAGAATTTACTTTGTAATATATTTTTGTATGTTTTCTATCATTTTTACAAAGAATGAGAAGTATTTTCGTTATAAATATTTATTTTTACATTCTTTTCCCTTCGTTTTAGATTTTTTCTAAAATACCTTGGATAACAAATTGATTTTTTTCAAAATCTATTTTTCATTATTTTTTTATAATCTCATTTGGATATGTTTCGTTTAATTTAAATAAAAACATATTTTTCAAATTTTATAATTTTTTTCGTTTTTTATTTTTTTAACATTTTATTTGCCTAACGAGACCTGGCCAACTCGAACTTACACCGCCGGCTCGGGGCCGAGTTCCAAGGCCTAGTCATGCTTTCCCACACTGATGGAGAGAGTTACTAAGCACTCCACTAACTTATATGTGAATTGTTGACTAATTTAACAAGCTACAAGCTCAATTAAAATGCTAGCAAAGAAAGGGATAAAGGGGAATAAGAGTGTATGTCATAAAAATAGTGGGGAAATGAATGTCAATATAGACAGGACATATTAATTTCTCTAAAGAGAAGTTGTACCAAAGCTTACCCTACATACTTTTACCAAAAGGACATATGCAGAATTTACCATAAAAACATTAACTCCAACGGTATGTAAAATTAGTAGCATTAGTACACTATACTCCAAGAAACGGTAGAAGAAATGGTGGTGTGGGTCAATCATAATGAATGCAGTCGTTTTTGTCCCCTCCCTCAAAAATCGGGCCGCCACCTTCTTGGTACGATCTATTAAATAGTATGAAAATGACCTAACGAGGGAGAGGGAGGGGTGAGGTTTTGTATAAAGTTGTCTCCTTATATTGTAGAAGTAGGGTGCACTTCTAAAATATACCTAGAGATGCTTTTAGGCATCTAAAACATGCCTAAAACCCTGTGATCGGGTAAAAATATTTTTTTATCATGGGTTATAAATTTTAAAATAATATAGATCGAGTAGATCAAGAAATATTTGAAAATCTTGAAAAATGGACGGTCCAAATAATTTGTTATAAAATGTATTTTTTTTAATTTAAAATTCTTTTTTTTTTCTTATATCCATTCATCCGGAGGTCGAGATGATCAGTTGGAGGGTTCACCTATGCCGAAATACTCTCCACAGTAGGTTTTTTTAGGTACAACTTACTTCAACAGTATGAGGTTGCAATCTTATATAAACCTTTTTTTTTTTTTTTTCGGGAGGAAGAGCGAGAAAAACACATGTACATGCACATGCACATGCCATTACGGCTACCCTACTCCCTGAATTATTGAACCCCATATGGGCCACACTCATCCCACCTCCATACTAATCTTTTTAATTTGATGGATTCTTGGGTTCCCCACACTTTATTTATTCCCCTATTAGGTAGCACTACATGGTATGCATAGCTTAATCCTAAAACGCTAATAAAAAGTCACATCAATGCCTTTCCATGTTGAAATGTGTAAGTTTGGAGGCCACACTGGATCGTTAAATGCATAGGGTAGGTTGTGAAACTGAAAATTTTACATTCCTATTGATTATTGCTTGCGCAAGGGCTTTGTTTTTACTGAGGAGAGCATGTATATAAAGGGGTGAGGATAGAGTGGATTGGATCATCAGTTGAAGGTGAAGATGTGGGAAATAGGGGGAAAGATGGCCTCAGTGGCCTCTTTCTATGTTTTGGCTTTGGCTGTTGTCTTACTATCCACATTGCTGCCTTTGCAGGCAAATGCTGAACTCAATCTTTTCCAGCATTGGTACCATTACACTACTCCCCCTCCAGTGTACTCACCACCACCTCCTTACCACTATGTCTCTCCCCCTCCCCCTAAGTACTCTCCACCACCTCCTTACCACTATGTCTCTCCCCCTCCCCCTAAGTACTCTCCACCACCACCTTACCACTATGTATCGCCGCCACCACCACCAAAGCATGTTGTATATCCTCCTTACCACTATAAATCACCACCACCACCACCACCCCCAAAACACGTGGTTTATCCGCCTTATCACTACAAATCTCCACCACCACCACCACCACCCCCGAAACCAGTGTACAAGTACAAGTCTCCACCACCCCCACCCCCGAAACCAGTGTACAAGTACAAGTCTCCACCACCACCACCACCAAAACCAGTGTACAAGTACAAATCTCCTCCACCACCACCCCCAAAGCATGTAGTGTATCCTCCTTATCACTACATGTCTCCACCACCACCGCCGCCAAAGCCAGTCTACAAGTACAAGTCTCCACCACCGCCACCACCAAAACCGGTGTACAAGTACAAGTCTCCACCACCGCCACCACCAAAACCGGTGTACAAGTACAAGTCTCCACCACCACCACCACCTAAGCCAGTTTACAAGTACAAGTCTCCACCACCACCCCCTCCAAAGCCAGTGTACAAGTACAAGTCTCCACCACCACCCCCTCCAAAGCCGCTGTACAAGTACAAGTCTCCACCACCACCCCCAAATCATGTGGTGTATCCTCCTTATCACTACAAATCTCCACCACCACCAAAGCCAGTCTACAAGTACAAGTCCCCACCACCACCCCCTCCAAAGCCAGTGTATAAGTACAAATCACCCCCACCACCCCCTCCAAAGCCAGTGTACAAGTACAAGTCACCCCCGCCACCCCCTCCGACCCCAGTCTATAAGTACAAATCTCCACCACCACCTCCACCAAAGCCAGTGTACAAATACAAGTCACCACCCCCACCGCCCCCAAAGCCAGTGTACAAATACAAGTCACCACCCCCACCGCCCCCAAAGCCAGTGTACAAATACATGTCACCACCACCACCATCCCCAAAACCAAAACCAGTGTATAAGTACAAATCACCTCCTCCACCACCCCCTAAGCCAGTGTACAAGTACAAGTCTCCACCACCACCACCACCTAAGCCAGTGTACAAGTACAAGTCACCACCACCACCACCACCAAAACCAGTCTATAAATACAAGTCACCGCCGCCGCCGCCACCTCCAACACCTGTCTACAAGTACACATCTCCCCCACCACCTCCTCCAGTTTACAAGTACAAATCTCCACCACCTCCTGTTCACCATTACCCCTACACTTCTCCCCCTCCTCCAGTGTACTGAGTGTGGTGTCCAAAAAAGGTAACAGTTCAATTCCATTGACTCATCACTTTCTCTCCATGAGAAATTTTTGCTTTTCAATTCTTTATGTCATCCACCCTTAATGTCTACCAACTTACTAATATTGTAATGCAATATGTATTTTGGAGCAGGACCCCACACTGCTATGCAAGTAATAGGCTGTTTGGCAAGACCCATGGTGAAGGATTTTTCCAGCTCAAGCTTGTAGCTAGATGTCGTGAATAAAGAGAAGGTTTTGCCCCACTTGAGAAAAAAAGAAAGGCAAAGTTCTCTCTTTGCATTCTTGTTGCTTTGCAAGTAAAAGGAACAAGGTGTGTGTGGCGATGTAAAACCGATGCCTTTGCTGTATATGAGTTTTCTTTTCAATATTTTAAGTGCTTCATGAGATTAGGGTTTTATGGTGTTTACCATGTAAGAGTACGATAAAGAGAAATGTTTGTATCCTTGCTTTGCAACATCTAAATCTTTGTATTAATAAACAAAGAATAAATTTTTATGTGATGTTTTATGAATTAAGGATATCATTTCCTATAGCGACAGTCCAAGGGACGAGAAAGTGAGATCTTCTAGGAGGATTTTGTCTTAATGGTTGGATGAAAGTATGGATTAGGTTTCTATAAAGCCTAGGCTTTATGAAAACAAAATAAAGCCTCACCTCAAATCTTCACCCGGAAAGCATTTTCAGCAAAAATAATCTTCATGGCGGCTATAAAATCAATTTACAACACCAATAGATCTTGATGGATCTATGATCACTTATTTTTAGGGATAAATTAAAAAAAATGGTAAAGATCTTGTGGTTATATGAACTCTTATTTTTAGAGAGAAATTGACAATATAGGTAATTTATTACAATATATATTATTCTTAGAGCTTGAAATCCTATTTTTTTGTTCAACACCATAATGTTCCGGTCAAGATGATTGATATAAAAAAATTTTAATACTTGAATTGCAATTTTCGATGAGTTATGGGTTAAGGCTTTACTTATTTTGATAGAGTTGCAGTCGTATCAAACCATTTTCCTTGAAGTATTTGGGCCATGGGCGTGTACATCTACCTTTGTTTCCTTCTAAGATCACAACAACGTGCCCTAATGAGGCATGTCCATGATTATGGACAAAAATGAACCAACATATCTATAATTTTCCTGTTTTTTTTTTTTACAAAAGTAAAAGATGCAAAAGGAAAAAAATACTTTTAAAATATTTTAGTTTGAGCATAAGGTTGGGGTCATGGTGGTAGCACCACTTGTGTCCAGCTACGATCTAAGTTTTCATTCTCATTCAACACATTAAAAAACTACTAACGATTTAAAAAAAAAAAAAAAGGTAAAAAACTCGTCATCCCTGCTGAAGTACCCAAAAATAAAAAATTGTTCGTGTGGGTACAACGCAAAACCCAAAGTTGTCATTTCTCCTTACTACAAGAAGAGAGAGAAATAGGACAAGTCTCTTCATATTAAGAAAAGTTAGGAAGCCCTTTCTTTTTATTTTGTCCACTTGATTAATTATCTTAAGGTAGCCTTTCATCGTCCTAGACTATGGAAAAGGAGATGGCTCCTATACCTATTCTTTGACTAAATGTTTTGGTGGGAATTTTGTGTAGCTGGTGTTTTGATATTCCCAGCTGTTTTTAGGTGGAAAAGCACAAACATGGGGGCCAAAAGAGTTCTCTTTAAAAGATGCTTTTTCCTTCTACAAGATGCAAAGAAATAATCACTTTAAGTTCTTTTTAAATGTTATCAGGGCATTAATAAAAGGAAATGTATATAGCGGGACCATTTACTTTTTTTATAGAAGGATGTCAAAATTATCACATCAGTTATATATTAGATTTTACAACAGATGTAGTTAAAAGTGATTGTAATTTTCTTGTACTATATTTGACATGACTACCACCATATTAATACTCAAACCAAATATCTACTACTTGTGCTTACATTTGGACAGTGGAGATGACTATTGTTCCCACTTTAAAATAAGGGTGGACCTAAAAACAGAAAACAACTTATCTTCCTATCAATGGTGAATAATAGGACAAAGCAGTGTTTAAAAAAAAAATGGATTGATAATTGGAACGCTCACACCCATACCTGTGTCGGATCGAAAGAATCAGTGGATCGGATCTGAAAAATTGGCAGAATCGATAATTTTTGTCCCAATTTTTTTTAAAAAAATAATTCAAGGAAAAATTGTTCATCCTTTTTTTTTTTTGTTTGACTCGGTGAATAATCGGTTAGAATCGGTGAAGAATCGGTCGGACTCAGTGAAGAATTGGCAGCTCCACAAAAAAATCGTTGAGTCTACTATTCTGAATCGACTAAATCCCGATATTTTGCTGGATCCAGGACGGTTATGGTGACTCCTGATTCGGATCACCCAATTCCGGATCGAGTCACTGATTTTGAAATCTCTCGATCAAAATACCAAACATCCTACATGTATGGGATATTTTCCCTATGAAAAGTACATTTGGGGCAGGAAAGTTGTGCGAGCCTGACCGAGTGATCTATCGGCGAGGCCCGAGCCCAATGAGAGCAACTATCAATCTTATATATTAAACCCTTCCAAAAACACGGTTATTATTCCAAACCAGCGTTTTAAAAAACGCCGAGTCGAACCGGACTCGCCCGGTTCGACTCAGATTTCGCGAAAAGGGACCGGATCGGTTGAAAAATCGGAAATCGTCCGGTTCTAGAGAGAACCGGACGATTCTGCACAGTGACTCGCCGATTCACTGTACGGAATCGGCGAGTCCGAACAGTGAATTGGCGAGTCCGTTACGTTTTTTTTTTTTTTTGGTAATCCATGATAGATTTTTTTGTAAAACTTGATCGATTTTTTTGTAATTCATGATCGAATTGTTTTTGTTTTTTTGTAATCCATGATCGAATTTTTTGGTTTTTTGTAACCCATAATAGAATTTTTTGTAATCCATGATCGAAATGTTTGTTTTCTTTTCTTGTAATCCATGATCGCTTTTTTTGTTTTTTTTTTTTTTTGTAACCCATGATAGAATTTTTTGTAATCCATGATCGAAATGTTTGTTTTTTTTTTGTAATCCATGATCGAAATGTTTGTTTTTTTTTTGTAATCCATGATTGAATTTTTTGTTTTTTGCTTTTTTTGTAACCCATGATAGAGTTTTTTGTAATCCATGATTGAATTTTTTTTAATCCATGATCGAACTGTTTTTTCCTTTTTTTGTAATCCACGATTGAATTTTTTGTTTTTTTTTGTTTGTTTTTTTTTGTAATCCATGATCGAATTTTATGTAATCCATGGTCGAATTTTATGTAATCCATGATCGAATTTTATGTAATCCATGATCGAATTTTATGTAATCCATGATTGAATTTTTTGAAAATTTGTGATTTTTTTTTTTTAATCCATGATCGAATTTTTTTTGTAATCCATGATAGAATTTTTTGCAATTTGTGATTTTTTTTTTAATCCATGATTGATTTTTTTGAAAATTTGTTTTTTTTTTTTAATCCATATTATTCAAAGAGAAAATGAGAGAGATGATGATTCTGAGGCCACCCTATCCCAGCCATATTATTCACATATCGAGTCCCAACAGCAACAGTGTAGGGATGAGCACGAAATGCTGTAAATTAAATGCTGAATGGCGGTTCATGCAAGGAAAGAACATATCAATATTCGCATATTCATTCAAAAACATGAAAATTCTTAATGGAGTACCCTCAGTTTTTTATTGAA